TTAAAAACAGGGGCCTCGCTCTGTGCAACATCCCTCGCTCAAGCGGACATGCAAACATATAAGGGGCCGCTGAAGCGCAACATCCTTCGCTCGAGCGGTCAATAAACTCTAAAAAGTACTGGTTGTGTGAATTCTCTGCTCGATGGCTACTCGATGGTCGCTCGAGCGTGAGATTGGGGTCCTCGCTCGAGCGCAACTTTTGTTGCTCGAGCGGTCTGCAATATGTGTAAACTTCTGGGAGCTTACATTTCACGCTCGAGCCAACTTTTGGTCGCTCAAATAGAAGTGCAAGATCATAGAGAGGTCGCTCGAACGGAAGAGTAGAATCTGGAATTTCCAAATTGCACTCCCAAGCTCAAAACTCGGATCAAACACTTTAGAACTCATCCTTTTGGGCCAAAAACTTAAGGAACCTTGTATAAACTTGGAAAACATCTTGAATTCAAAACCATTTTGTAAAATCAAGGCCCAATAGCATGCCCATTATTGAAAAGTCAACTTGAAACTTATGAATATTCCATGAACATGACTAGCATGAATTACTATGAACTTAGACCTTCCAAAACATGATCAATTAAGGTCAAATGGTAAGAAATAGGATGAATTCTCAAAACCAAGTCAAAATAGACACATGCGTGTGGAAATTCTTTAGAAACAAACTCAAAATGCTATGATATATGCATGCATGTATGAATGGCTCAATTTTCTTCATTTGTAGCTTAGTTCTTCCATTATTCGACTTAATTCTTTTGAATTCAAGGTCTAGATATCATATTTGAACAATCCAATGGTTGAATTCTTACCTAGGCTTGCCAATGAGAGGGCTAGAGGCTTCCTTCTAGTATCTCCAAGTTCAATTCTTTCAATTCCTAGCAAATCCTTTAATTTGAGTCCAAGGTTTCTTCTTTCTCTCTTCTCTCACATTTTGTTTGCTTGTATAGGCTCAAAAATGTGTTGAAGAAAAGAAATGGAGCACACATGGGAGCCTTATATAGGCTTGGTTAATAGTTTAATTAAATTGTTGATCAACTAGTCAATTAGTCATTAAATTGTTCTAATTTAATCGTTCGAAATCGAATTTTAATTAAACCTACCATAACATTCTAAAAATCCTAAATAGCACATAAATCAAGCCAATTTCGTGATCGGATGCCAATAAGGCCTTCAATTCACAAAACAAAACAAAACTCAAACATATATTCCTACATGAGATAGTTATAAGCACAAATAATGCGACACACATGCAATTAATTTAGAATTTCACCTTAATTACTGATTAGGCTTATTTAATCATGAATTAACGTGAATTAGAGGTCGGGGTTATTACAGTCTTTCCCCCCTTAAAGAGTTTGGTCCTTCAAACTCGAATTACCTTCATTTTGGAAGAACATTGGGTTTAATGGAAACAAATTTGGATATCTCTTCATCATATCCTCTTCTGTTTCCCATGCAGCATAAGTTCCTTCATGATTCTGCCAATCAACTTTCACCAATGGAATTTCCTTGTTCCTCAATCTCTTGATCCTTTGGTTAATGATTTGAATTGGCCGTTTTTCATACATATAATCATCCTTCAAAAGTTCATGTGTTGGCTCAATAACATGGAATAGATCCCTCAAATAGTCCTGGAGCATTGATACGTAAAAAACATTATGTATATGCTTTATGACTGGCAATAAGGCTACCCAATACGTCACCGAATTGATCTTCTCTAAAATCTCATATGGCTCAACATATCTCGGTGCTAGCTTGCCCTTTACAACAAACCGCGTTTGGCCTTTCATAGGAGTTACCTTGATAAATACATAATCCCCGACTTTATATTCTCGATATCTTCTTTGGATGTTCGCATAACTCTTTTGGTGGCTTTGTGTAGTTTTCAATCTCTGTTGAATCGATTTCACATTTTCAGTTGTTTCTTGCATAAGTTCTGGTCCCAACAGTGGTCTGTCACATACCTCAGCCTAACAAATCGGAGAACGACACTTCCTACCATACAAAGCTTCATAAGGAGCCATGTCGATACTCGAATGGTAGCTATTGTTATACATAAATTCAGCCAATGGTAAGTAGGTTTCCCAACTGCCTTGGAAATTTAGGGCACACATCCGTAACAATTCTTTCAATGTTTGAATAGTCCGTTCAGATTGGCCATCAGTCTATGGGTGATAAGCACTGCTTAATCTCAATTCAGTCCGCAGAGCTTGCTGTAGACTCTGCCAGAATCTTGAAATGAGCTTAGGATCTCTGTCAGATACAATAGATACTGGCACACCATGTAATCTCACAATCTCATTAACATACAAGTTAGCCAACTTATCTGCATTGTACAAAGATTTGATAGGTAAAAAATGTGCGGATTTAGTCAAACGATCAATAATTACCCAGATAGAGTCCATACCTCGAGAAGAGCGAGGTAATCCCACAATGAAGTCCATCATGATATGTTCCCATTTCCATTCTGGTATTGGAAGCGGCTGTAGAAATCCATCAGGTCGTTGATGTTCAGCATTAACTTGTTGGCAATGTAAGCATCGAGCCACAAAATCAGTAATGTTTTTTTTTTCATTCCCGGCCTCCAGAAATTTTGTTTCAAGTTATGGTACATCTTTGTATTCCCTGGATGTATAGAAAATTTAGAGGGGTGGGCTTCAGTCATAACACGTTTTCTTAAATCCAAACAATCAGGAACACAAAGTCTATTCTGGAATTTCAGCACATTGTTCTCCTATACAAATCCTGGCTTTGGTTTTGAGTCTATGTCATCCGCAATCTTTTTCAAAAATTCATCTTGTAGTTTTTCTCTCTAATCTCTTCAATGATTGCAGGTTGAGCAGAAATGGTGGCCAAGATCCCGCTTTGTTCATGCAATACAATTTCAATCTCATTCTTTTCCAAGTCACATAATAACTCTCTTTGACTGGTGAGCAAATAAGACAAATTTCCAATAGATTTTTGGCTCAAGGCATCTGCCACTGTATTAGCTTTCCTTAGATGGTACAAAATCTGTAAGTCATAATCCTTGATCAATTCAAGCCATCACCTTTGTCTCATGTTCAGTTCCTTTTGGGTGAAGAAGTATTAAGGCAAACACCACAGTTGCTAGTTCAAGGTCATGTGTCAGATAGTTTTTTTTATGTGGTTGGAGTTACCGAGAAGCATAAGTAATCACCTTACCATTTTGCATTAGTACACATCCTAAACCTTTGTAGGAAGCATCATTGTAAATCTGAAACCCATCGATTCCGTTAGGGAATGTTAGAATTGGTGCAGTTGCCAGTCTCATTGTAAATCTGAAACCCATCGATTCCGTTAGGGAATGTTAGAATTGGTGCAGTTGCCAGTCTAGTTTTTAGGTCTTGAAAGGCTGACTCCCATTGATCATTCTAATCAAATGGTACATTCTTTTGACTCAGTTGAGTGACTGGCAAGGCAAGCTTGGAGAAATCTTTCACAAATCTGCGATAATAGCCTGTATGCCCCAGAAAACTTCTAACTTCAGACACATTGGTTGGCCTTGGCCAGTCTACTATGGCTTTAATTTTCTGTGGGTCCATTGATATACCATCCTTATCAATTATATGTCCCAAAAATGCTACACTGTCAAGCCAGAATTCACATTTAGACAGTTTTGCATACAACTTCTTTTCTCTCAACATCTGTAAAGTAGTTCTCAGGTGATGTTCATGTTTTTCCCTGCTTTTGGAGTAAATCAAGATAACATCAATGAACACAACGATAAATTCATCAAGAAATTGTTTAAACACCCTGTTCATTAGGTCCATAAAAACTACAGGTGCATTAGTTACCCCAAACAGCATCGCTAGGAACTCATAGTGCCCATATCTAGTTCGGAAGGCGGTTTTCTGTATGTCTTCGGCTTTAACTTTCAATTGGTGGTATCCGGATCTAAGGTAAATTTTAGAAAAGACCTGGGCTCCCTGTAGTTGGTCAAATAAGTCATCTATTCGAGGTAATGGGTATTTATTCTTAATAGTCACTTTGTTCAATTTCCGATAGTCTATACACAGCCTCAAAGTTCCGTCTTTCTTTTTAACAAATAAAATTGGAGCACTCCAAGGTGAAGTGCTCGACCAGATGAACTTCTTGTCTAACAAGTCTTGAAGTTGGCTTTTTAATTCTTTTAACTCAGAAGTTGACATTCTATACGGGGTTTTGGAAATTGGTTGTGTTCTGGGTACAACATCAATAGTAAACTCAATTTCTCTATCAATTAACTCCTCGGGCAATTCGGTTGGAAATACATTAGGAAATTCATTTACTATTGAGATGTTCTTTATAGTAAGACTATCAGAAGTCACAGTCAAAACACGACACATGTACCCTCTACATCCCTTCCTAAGCAATTTAATAGCTTTCATGGTAGAAATCAAATATGGGGGAGGAACTACCCCATTCCCAGTAAACACAAATTCAGGTAAATCAGGTGGACAGAACACAACAGATTTATATACACAGTCAATAGTTGCACAGTACTTCGTCAACCAGTCCATACCCAGTATGTAATCAAAATAATCAATACCCAATGGCAATAAGTCAACATACAGTGTCACATCACCAATTACTGGTGCACATGCCAGATAAACATAAGTGCATACCATAGAACCCCCAGATGGTGTAGAAACAGACAGTAAATAATTCATAGGTCCTAAAGGTCTAGTTAATTTTCGAGAAAAAGCTTGTAATACAAATGAATGAGTAGAGCCAGAATCTATCAACACATAGTCATTCTGAGCACAGATAGAGATTATACCTGATACCACTGATTCAGTATTCTGTACATCACCAAGTACTAATGGAAAAACCCAGCCTTGTCTCAAAGTTTCTCCCCCAGTATTGGCTCTCACATTCGTTCTTGGTGCAGGAGCAGATGCGACTGAACTTGCTGCAGGATGAGTAGTCGTGTCGAGTCTCATCGAACAATCTCTAATCATGTGGCCTGTCTTGCCACATTGAAAACAAGTTCCAGATGCACGGTGTTATGTGCCTTTATGCTTCCTTCCACATTCTGGACAAACTAGCATAGACCCACTGCTTTGGTTTGAACTACTTAAAGATCTAGTATTTTGCCTTTTGCTTATAAAGGATGAGCGACCCTTCCAAAAATTGGATCCAGATCTTTTGCCTCTCCATTCAGTTGTTGAAGCATTAGTCTGTTTCTTTGCTGCTAGTGTGGCTTCTACCATCAATGCCCTATCAAGTACTTCCACATAAGTAGGCAATTTCAATACGCCTATTCCATCATATACGTCCAGGTCTAAGCCCCCTTCGAATTTTTGAGACTTCTTATAATCTGTGTTAACCATATGAGGAGCAAATCTAGCCAATTCAGTAAACTTAGCCTTATACTGGGCTACGGACATCTTACCTTGCTTCAATTCTTGGAATTCAGAAACTTTTCGATCCCGAAAATACTGAGGAAAGTACTTGTCATAAAAGATGTCATTGAATTGCACTCATGCCATATTCCCATTATTAGTTCGAATCAACAACCACCATCTTCAAGCTTCATCTTTTAAGGTGTAGGTAGCTAATAAAACTTTTTGAGTCTTAGAACAAGGAAATACCTCAAATAATTTCTCCATCTCGAGTAACCATAGCTCTGCCTTTAAGGGTTCAATACCACCCAAGAAAGTCGGTGGTTTCATCTTCATGAATTTCTGAGCTAAGTTTATGATGTTGTTGTTATTCGGTCCAACTTGGGCCGGTGGGGGAAGAGGAGGCAACGGTTGTTGTCTTTGCTGGTGTGTCATTGCTTCAGTTAAGGTTGCGAGCATTTGTTCCATTCGGCTCATTCGAGCCTCAGAGGACCTTGCTGTATCATCACTTCTTGCATTTTCTGTTGCTATAGGGAAACAGAAGAACAATAAACATAGGCAAATAGTTCTTTTCACAGTGTTCAGAACATTCATTCCCAGTTCAGTCGTTCCAATTTCATGTGTTCATGTCTAGATGTAGTTTTCTCATGTACAGAAATTAATACACACTCACACATGCAGATGGAATGCCCCTGACTCTTACTAGGACATCTTATAGCTCATATGGACTCATGTGTACGGTATAACGCGTGCTCTGATACCACTCTATCACGACCCAAACCCGCCCCTATAGGTTTGGCGACGTAACCGTCTAGTAATCCTAGGATTACCAAAGGCCTCTTAACAGAATAACAAAATATAAGAGGCTGTAGATGCAATTATACAAAATACAAGGTCCATAGAGCTGTGTAGACATTCATGAGACAGAAAAGAAATTTTAAGCTTAAATAATGTCAAACTTCCATAAGGTTTGTATCACCATACATATAATGTCATAACGGACTTAGCCCAACGTACAGATAAGCAAAACAAACAACAAAACATCTTCAACGGTTCTCAAAACTTAACTTCTCAAAAAGGAACCTCCCCGAGAGGTACAGTGGTTGGCTGACCCAAAAACACTCCCGGCAGTAGTTTAGGCCTAGTCACGCGCCTGCTCACCTACATACATAATATAAATAGTGAGCGGAAGCCTAGTGAATAATAACAGAGTAAAGGGTTTAAATGAATGAGGTCCATAATAGATTCATAAATCAGAGTTCATATCAGAAATAGATTTATGTTCATATTCTTGTTCAAACTGCGTACAGAAATTAGAGTTCATGCTTCATCATACATGGTGCATCCATTAGCGTTATCATGCTTGTCAGTTCTATAAGGAACCTCCGATACTGGAAACTTGTAATATACTTGAGGCACGGTATTATTACCCCCGGGCAAGGGCCTTGTGCTTATAGACCACGGTATTATTACCCCTGGGCATAGGCCTTGTGCTAAGGATGCCATGAATACTTATCAGAAAATGGGACAACCATTCATCGTATAGAACATAACATTTCAAAAAAATTGATAATTTTATATCATCAGAAAATAATTAAAGTTAAACATAACTTTATAGAGTTATTACTCTCTGATGGCTCCAGATGCGGACAGACGGAGCAGACAAAATCAAACAGCTTATAGCGCGTGACCTATACAAACATAACTTCTTTCATTTCGTTCTTAGTGTGTTTTTAAGTCTCATCCTCATTATTAGGTCTTAATTATGGCCTAGGAATGTCTAAGATGCAATGAGGATGCCAAAATGCACTTTGGAACTCTTAACAAAAGTTGCTGAAAATAAGGGCCCGCTCGAGTGCAACTTCCCTCGCTCGAGTAGACATGCATACATATGAGGGGTTGCTCGAGCGCAACATCCTTCGCTCGAGCGATTTGTAAGCTCTAAAAAGTACTGGTTGTGTGAATTCTCCGCTCGATGGTCGCTTGACGGTCGCTCGAGCGTGAGACTGAGGTACTTGCTCGACGCAACTCTTGTCGCTCGAGCGGTCTACAAAATGTGTAAACTTCTGGGAGCTTGCATTTCATGCTCGAGCCAACTTTTGGTCGTTTGAGCAGAAGTGCAAGATCATAAAGTGGTCGCTTAAGTGTAGCTTCTGTCGCTCGAGCAGAAAAGCAAAATCTGGAATATCTAGATTGCATTCCTAAGCTCAAAACTCGAATCAAACACTTTAAAACTCATCATTTTGGGCCAAAAACTTGGAAAATATCTTGAATTCAAAACCATTTCGTAAAATATTTTGGGCCAAAAACTTGGAAAATATCTTGAATTCAAAACCATTTCGTAAAATAAAGGCCCAATAGCATGCCCATTGCTCAAAAGTCAACTTGAAACTTATGAATATGCCATGAACATGACTTGCATGAATTACTATGAACTTAGACTTTCCAAAACATGATCAATTAAGGTCAAATGGTAAGAAATATGATGAATGCTCAAAACCAAGTCAAAATAGACACATGCATGTGGGAATTTTTTAGAAACAAACTCAAAATGCTATGATATATGCATGCATGTATGAATGGCTCAATTTTCTTCATTTCCAGCTTAGTTCTTCCATTACTCAACTTAATTCTCTTGAATTCAAGGTTTAGATATCATATTTGAACAATCCAAGGGTTGAATTCTTACCTAGGCTTGCCAATGAGAGGGCTAGAGGCTTGCTTCTAGTATCTTCAAGTTCAATTCTTTCAATTCCTGGCAAATCCTTTAATTTGAGTCCAAGGTTTCTTCTTTCTTTCCTCTCTCAAGTTTTGTTTGCTTGTATAGGCTCAAAGATGTATTGAAGGAAAGAAATGGAGCACACATGGGAGCCTTATATAGGCTTGGTTAATAGTTTAATTAAATTGTTGATCAACTAGTCAATTGGTCATTAAATTGTTCTAATTAAATCGTTCTAAATTGAATTTTAATTAAACCTACCATAACGTTCTAAAAATCCTAAATAGCATATAAATCAAGCCAATTTCGTGATCGGATGCCGATAAGGCCTTTAATTCACAGAACAAGACAGAACTCAAATAGATATTCCTACATTAGACAAATATAAGCACAAATAATGCGACACGCATGCAATTAATTCAGAATTTCACCTTAATTACTGATTAAGCTTATTTAATCATGAATTAACGTGAATCAAAGGTCAGGTTTGTTATAGATCCGAGAATGTTGTTGCGAATTATCTATCCCGAATCCCTATTGAGCACACGAGTGATCACTTAGCCTTGCACGACTCGTTTCTGGACGAGCAACTTTTTGCGGTGTCACAAGTGACCCTCCCATGGTTTGCTTACTTAGTGAATTACTTGGCGATTAGTCAAATTCCTAAAACTTGGTCTAAGCAAGACAAAGACTGATTTTTCTCACAAGTCAAACACTATTTCTGGGAAGACTTGGAATTGTTCAAGTATTGTCCGGATCCAGTGATTCAGCGTTGTGTGCCTGAGAGTGAAACCTATAGCATTCTCAGTTTTTGTCACACTTATGCATGTGGTGGACATTTCAGTGGGCAGAAAACGGCCGCCAAGGTTTTACAATGTACTGGCCCTCTATCTTCAAAGATGCTCATAACATTTGTAGAGCTTGTGTGCGTTGTCAACAAATGAGGTCTATGTCGCGATGAGATATGATGCCATTGACCCCTATTTTGATTGTTGAGATTTTTCATGTTTGGGGCATCAACTTTATGCGTCCCTTTCCACTCTCTTTTGGATATGAATACATTTTGGTGGCTATGGACTATGTCTCCAAATGGGTTGAGGTAGTGGCCACCAAAACAAACGACCACAAAGTTGTGGTTAAATTCCTCCATGAGACCATTTTTTATCGTTTTGGGTTTCTACGTGCCATAATTAGTGACGGTGGCAAACATTTTTGCAACCGATTCTTCGAGGCATTGGTGCACAAATACATGATCACTCCCAAAGTTAGCACTCCTTATCATCCCCAACCTACTAGTTAAGTAAAGGTTTCTAATAGGGAAGTCAAACACATCCTCGAGAAAATTGTGAGGCTCAATAGGAAAGATTGGTCCACTAGGTTGGTTGATGTACTTTGGGCCTATCGCACTACATATAAGACACCAATCAGGATGTCTCCATATAGGATTGTGTTCGTGTTCGGGAAATCGTGCTATCTCCCTGTTGAGTTAGGACGCTGGGCTTTGTGGGCCATTAAGAAGTTCAATTTTGATATGGCCAACGACGATGACCACTAGAAACTCCAACTGAATGAGTTAGAGGAGCTCCACAATGACACATATGAGAGCTCCAAAATTTAAAAGGCTATGACTAAAGAATTTCATGAAAAACACATTTCTCGTAAGTCCTTTGAGCCTTACAAAAAAGTGTGGCTGTTTAATGCCAAATTGCAGTTGTTCCCGAGTAAACTCTAGTCTCGGTGGGGTAGCCCATATGAGGTTATCAAAATCTTTTTACATGGGGCGGTTGAGATTAAAAATCCACAAGATAGTACGACCTGCAAGGTCAATGGCTAACGATTGAAACATTATGTGGATGGTATTAAGAAAAGGGAGATGATTGAGGTTGTCCACTTGATAGACTCAATATATCTTCCATTGTAATTATTTTGAGTCTAAGAAACTTTAAATCCTTTAAAGGTGTAATTTCTTTGGTGTTGGCCGTGCTCAAACGACATAGGACAGCCTGGTATAGCCACCTAACAGTGTTTGTAGTGAGTTCCTAGGAGACCAACTGAGACGGTGGAAACTAGAGCTTGAATGACAAAGCTTGGAACGCAAAGGTTTGGAATTTCCGAGACTAAAGTCCGGTTTAAATACCTAAAGGTGTAGAGATTGCTTCAAAACCACCCCGGCTTGAACTCTGTATGGCAACCCCATAGGTCGAGTTAGTTTTATGTGCCTCGATTCTGGATACCGAATCAATCTAGTCTGTCACCCTGTTGGAGAATAGGGAAGGTTACAAACATTGTTAGGGAGAAAAGTAGTACCCATGGTTTTCGCGTGAAG